AGAGCAACAGCTCTTAGCTCATCAGTCGTCCTACCAGCTCCTGTCTCTCTAGAGACAAGGTGTCTGTTGCCTTTACTAGAACTATGTAGACCAGGCTGGCAGGGAGCTCAGAGATCCATTTCCCTCTGCCTCCTCAGTGCTGGTATTAGAGGCATATGGCACCATACCTGGCATTTAAATGTATTATTTAAAAATTTTGGTTATGTTGTAGGGACGGGACATCGAGTATGTTGCTAAGAAGACAATGTATAAGAGTGCTTTCTTCTTCTACCCTGCCATCTTAGGGATTGCTCTCAGGTTCTTAGGCCTGTCAGCAGGTGTCTTGACTGCTGAATCTTCTCACCAGTCGTGGTGTCAGTTCTAAATAGAGATATCTATTTTTCTTGTATTGCATCTCTTAAGAAATCTATGTTTCAGATTCATTTGAGAACTAAAACACACTTTAAAAATGACCCAGTGCAATGCTATAAATTTACAAAAGACAATAAAAATGATATGAGAGCCTGTGATTATAGCTATAGGCCAAATCTAACTTCCATTCTCCACAGGCACTTTGCTTATACCAACTTGACTCTATTTACCAAAACAGGCTGCCACCGAACAGCTTTACCCAGATACAACCAAGTGTAAGTACACGCACTGCACGTGCACACACATACACTTTTGGACAAATGGGTGACTACTCCAAGTACCTGTGCCAGGATTAGTAGTAATTAATAAATGAATTTGCTATTATTCTTAAAGATCTTTCAGTAAAATTCAAAACTGGAGGGAGAGGGGATCACAAAAATAATGGAAGTGTAAATCACATGAAAACTGGAGGCTATGGAGCAACACTCTGAGATTTAGAGTCTTGTGCTACCCAGATTGTGTGTACTATCTCTGACACTGAGGCATTCATGGAAGCAGATCATTATCTTATTGAGGTTCACACAAACACGTTAGCACAATTAGGTGACTAAGATAACTCAAGGAAAGCGTCAATGAGGTCCCCACATAGTCAGAAACTAATTGCTTTGAGTGAGTGAGTCTCTTTTCTCTTCCCAGGGAATTCCTTCCTCACAATTCAGACAGAAAAGCTAGTAGATGGACAACAAACCAGTCCTTCTCTCAGGATGAGGACTGAGCAGTACCCGCAAGGCACCTGGAGCAGAGGGTGGAGATGAAGTTCAATCCCTCTGTGGCCACAAAAGCCCCTCAAATGCCCTTCAGTGTGCAGGAAGGCCATGTGTGTTTTCCTGCTTCCCAGCTACGGGTAAGGACAATGAGATTCACAGGGCTCAAAGACAGTGCAAAGGCCAGCAAATGGCAATGCACTGCAGACATAAAGAAATATGACATTAATATCCAGTGCAGGGGGAGAAGGCACTTGCACAATAGTCCTTGTAGGCATCCACCTGAGCAAGGTGCTTATCGCCAGGCTAAAACTGGACAAAGGCTGGAGAAAAATGCCTGAACGAAGAGGCGAGTCTAAACAATCAGAGGAGAAAGGCAAATATAAGGAAGAACTCAATGAGGAAGGGCAAGCATGAACGGGACCAGAGCGCAGAGCAGGCTTCCCGAAGACTTCCGCCTCATGAGTGTTCTGTGGAAGTTTGCATCATGTCTCTCCAGTGCTTTTCACTTTCTTCTCATTTTGGCTTAATCAATCTACTTTTACAATTTTGATTAATAATTTTTGAATTAAAATTGGAACTGTTCCCTAACTCTAAATGGTATTTGTGTCATTTCATAAACAAAATCCATTTCTTATAAAACATCCAGGACTTAAATTTTTATGATATATAAATATTAGTCTCTAAGCCATATGGAACACTGTGGTTATATTTCCTTTCTTATGCATTTTTAATTTTTCTCTACAGATAGGCTAATAATTGCTTTGTTTTATTCTATGTATTCAGCGTGGCTGTTTTATTTATTATTGTGTAGTTCTGGGGATTGAACCTAGGGTCTTACACATGCTAGACAGCATTTTAAAACCGAACTCACCCCTAGCCTTTCTTATATGTACTTTTTATTTTGAAATAGGGCCTCACTAAGTTGCTCAGTTTGGTCTTGAATTCACTCTGTAGCTCAGGCAGGTCTTGAACTTCGGATTTGCCTGCTTTCAGCCTTCTGAGAAACTGGCATTTAAGCCTTGGCAAATTCTGTCACTCAATTTCTTGGACACTCTTTTTTGGGGGAGGGGAATCTTTGAGACAGGGTTTCTCTGTGTAGCTTTGACTGTCCTGGAACTCACTCTGTATAGACCAGGCTGGCCTCAAACTCACAGAGATCTGCCTGCCTGTGCCTATCGAGAGTTGAGATTAAAAGGTGTGTGCCACCACCTGGCTGGACACTCTTGTATAGAATGGTGAGGGAGGTCTTTGACTTCTTCCCTTGATTCTGTGTGGGATTTTGGTGTTACATGGTTGCTCTTCAGCACTGGGCCACCTTTCTAACCCCCAAAGTTTATTTATATTTTTTTAGACAGAGTCTCATGTATCCCAGGCTGGCCTCAAATTGGATAATGTAGCTGAGAGTTTCCTTGAACTCCTAATCCTCCTGCTCTCCCCACAAATGCTGGGGTACATGTGTGAACCACCATGCCTGGCCATCTATAATTCTCAATATGGTCAAGCATATTAGGCAATTTATCAATTCCAATTTTTACTCTTAGAGATAGTTCTCCTGGGACAGGGCAGATGGTTCAGCAAGTATGAGGGCTGCAGCTTAGATCCCTAAGAACCCATAGAAAAGCTAGATGTAGGGATGTAATCTGTTATCCCAGCTCTCCCACAGGGAGGTGGGAGGTAGAGACCCGGAGAATCTCTAGGAGCTCATGGGTGCACAACAAAAGACTTACCTAAAACCTTCTGGGAACAAGGACTGACATCTGAGGTTGTCCCTTGACCACCACATGTGGGCTGGGCCATGTGTGTATGGTGACTGACATACACATGCTCACACATATGAACACACACACACACACACACACACACACACACACACACACAAAACAAAACAAAACAAAACAAAACAAAAAACAAAAAAACCCAAAACAAACAGAGGGGATTTCTCCTGGAGCTCTTTGTCCTCTTGTCTCAGTGCAGCCTGGATACATAGCCATCAGCCTAAGACTTGTTAGCATGTTACATAGGAAGCATGGCATTTAGGAACTTGGACTGTCCCTGTAGCAGACCTGCTTGGGTTTGAATCCTGGGTATACTACTTGGTTGCTGTGTGAAACTTCATTAATTACTTAATCTCTCTGTGCCTCAGACTCCTAATTGGAACAAAACTTGACATATGGTATGTGCTGCTATTGTAGGCCTTATCATTGTTCATGCCTTCATTTAATCACCTACTTCCTAGACTTTATTGTGCATACCATGGAGCATAAAGAATCCTCAGCCCCATCTCCTTGTCTTGAAGGAATGTGTCCCATCTTCTCAGGAACAAGGACAGGGAAGGTACGTTTCCTGAGACCTTGAGCCCACAATATCTCTTTTTCTTCTTTCTTTCTTTCTTTCTTTCTTTCTTTCTTTCTTTCTTTCTTTCTTTCTTTCCCTTTTTCTTTTTTCCTTTTTATCTCATCTGTATTTACCTTTAAAAGCAGAATGTGATTGGGCACTATATTTCCAGTCACAAGCCTTGCTGAGTTACAAGACCTAGGAAAGCTTAGTTTTGTTCTCAGTACTTTGAAAACAAGCCACATGGGGAATTTCTCAGTTGTTTTAGCATGTGTATTTACTTCTAAGACTAGCACAGGGAGAAGAAGGATAGATCTCCATGCCTAGCTGCTTATTGCCTATTCTAAGCTTGTTTTCTTTTCTTTTTAATTCATTTTTATTTTATATATGAGTGCTTTGCTTGTAAGTATGGCTGTGTACTACATGTGTGCCTGATGACCTCTGAGGCCAGAAGATGACATTAGATCCCCTGGAACTAGAGTTACAGTTGTGAGCTGCCAAGCAGGTGATGGGAAGTGAAGCTGTGTCCTCTAAAGAACAGCCAGTGCTCCTAACCATTGAGCTATCTCTCCAGCCCTACAGGCTTCTGATGAAATAAATCTGTGGTATTTTTATGTTTTATAATCTGATTTTTTGTTCTGAGACTGGTCACTGTAGGTGACTGGTCATGGATATGGAATGCTTACTGAGGGGTCTCCAAACTGCCCCTCTGCCAGTCCTTTCTTTGGGGATTGACAGCTTCCTAAGAATGAATTCTTACAGTTTTGAATATGAGGGATTTTAAGCGGGCTGCTAGCATTTTGAACATCAGTACAGAAGGAGAGGGGAAATTTTGTCTTTCAGAATGTGGATCCTCACTTAGGTGCTCTTCTGTAGGACTGCTACCCTTATAACCCTACCCGAAGCTGTGGCCAGTGACCATTCCTGCACCTACAGACTCAGTGTGACAATTCCAATTACAACCATGAAGTTAAATGGATCCCATGAGACTGTATCGAAAAGGTAGGAAGTCTTTGTACCAGAGTTTCTGTACTAAGAGAGATCAAGTGGTTCCCTCTAATGTGCCACCCTCAGCACATGTCCCTTTATTCTTCTGACTTCACCAGGTCCCCTATCCTTCTGCCTTTGATAATGTCTCAGAATGGGTGTTCAAGGCCCAAATTTGTTTTAAAATAACCCAATGAGCTGACAGACAGTGCTCCTGTTATTGTGCAGTGTGCACTGGAGTCCACAGATGGGAAACTGCAGACAGTTAAAGGGTGGTGTTACTACCATGCCCAATTTCTGAAAGCCTCTAAGAAAAACCCCAAAGTTAATCAGCATTCACATAGGCACCAGTGCTGTGCTGCAGGATCTATGAACTCCAACTCAGATGTAAGAGAACGCACTGGTGTGGCCTCCAGCGTATAACTAGTATTTCGCCTCTTACACATATAGGTTATAAAGAATCCACCTGTAAAGAAAATAGGCTTCTATCATGCACAGGAATTGTGTTCTAAGACCAACTACACACCAATGGTATCAAAACCAGGGGCAATTTCAACTTACCTCTCCAATCTGCCTAATCCACACATCTCTTCCAAGAAACTCCTGATGTAAGACGACAGGTGCTGAGTTTAGGTTAAAAGTCTTAGAGTCACTAGTCTTGTCTTTAATAAAAGGCTGGAGGTCAGAATTTATCTAGAAGGAGCAGTTAGAGAAGTTATATAAGTACAATGTATCAATTCAGGAAGTACCAATTAGAGTGTTTCCATGCACGGTAATAGGTCTAATGAGCACATTAACATCCCGGATGACTTAGCAACAATCTTTAAAATTCTTCAGAATTTAATTTTCATAAGGTGTATGCCTCTGGTGATGAATCTAGGACACATGTGTAAGCAGTCACTCTGCCATCAAGCTACATCCTTAGCCCCTTCTCCTTTAAGTAAGATGTAGAGACTTAAATAAAGATATAAATACAAGTAGTCAATAAAGAAACCCAAGTTTTAATAAAATAAAAAAGTTAATCTGGAAATTACACACACACACACATATACACACACACACACTATATACACATGTATACATATACACACAGCGATATATAGACATAAACACACACACACACACACACACACACACACACACACACACACGCGCATGCATGAGTTAAGTCGCATCTTAAAGTATGTAACTGAAATGACGGGAGTATTGCGTTGTTTTTTGAGACAGACTCTTTCTATTATGTAGCTCTGGCTGCCCTAGGTAACCAAAAATTTAAAGTGAAACAACCACAGCAGCGGATTTAGTGATATTTTATATTTCATGTCTTTTAAAAGAATGAGTTATTAAGGTATTTCTCCCTTCTAGCCTCTCCTACTTTTGGGAGTGTTCTCACTTTTTCTTAACAAATCTATGCTCCAGCTTTGATAAAAATTCAATCACATATTAAAATTAAAGCTTTCAATTTTATTCAGTACAAATTTTATGAACTTTTCATAATTTGTTTCACATAAGGATTTACAAGGGAACTGTAGCAAAAATAAAAAATAGTCTACCATTTTGTGAAGGTGCTATTAGACATTATTTGATAATTCTTTTAGGTAGTAGGAAAATATAAACACCAAAATTACATAGTACTTGCCAATTATATTGCTTATATAACTCCCACCCTCTCTGACTGACATATTTTATGCACACAATAAACACTTTTCAAGATATAAAAGCAGCTTATTAAGTGCCAGCAGTCTTCTGTGTACATTTATCATATTTCCATATGCAGAAGATAGGGTGTGCATGCAATACCTTATGACTCATGGCCATGTGCTTCCCATACTGAAATGCCATGTCCTGGACCTCAGCATCATGCTTTGCTAACTCCATTGCAGCCTGGCAGCTCTTCGCCAGCAAGGCACAATGAGACAGAAAGGTCTGCTCCTTCCACGTCGACATTCCAATGTCATCTGTGATAGAATGTTCCTAAAAATGGAAGAAGGTCAAGATGAGAAGGCTTTAGATAAATTTAACTGTTTTTGAAGAATAAAAGCATTAAGAGCTGGCCACGTCTGGTGGCGTACAGTTGCAATCCTGGTAACTGAGAGGCAGAGGCAGGAGGATTCCAGGCTAGCTAGAGCTATCCTGTCTTAAGAAAAACTAAAACAAACAAAGAAACAAACAAAAAGAAACAAAGTAAGGAACAATTCAAAACATTCCCACTTGTGCAACAAGACAGAAATGGAGAACTAAGCCCTGCTCCAGCCACCAAGAGCAGTGCAGGGTAATGAAGAGAAGGTAAGAGAAATGTAAGGCACTGGTTTTTTAGTTCGAAGCTTGAGAATGTCTATATTTAAAACAAACATAGTGGAAACTTAGAGCTCTAAATGGACTCCTGCTTATATGCACTGTCAGTTCTAGAATGTCACCGAGTGTTCTGAAACACAAGGCTCCTACTGCATTCAACTTATGTGAAGATAGCGAAGGCATAAAGACAGTGTGCATTGGAAAAACTAAAATGACTACATACAACAAGATTCTTGAATATAGTAGCAAAGGGCATAATTAATAATGAACACAACCATCTATAAAACTAGTCAGAAAGTGTTATAGACAAGGTCTTTTATTCTATGATATACACATATATTTAAAAAATAGATCCGGGTGTTGGTGGCGCACGCCTTTAATCCCAGCACTGGGGAGACCGAGGCAGGCAGATCTCTGTGAGTTTGAGGCCAGCCTGGTCTCCAGAGAGAGCACCAGGATAGGCTCCAAAGCTACACAGAGGAACCCTGTCTCAAAAAACCAATAAATAAATAAATAAGTAAATAAATAAATAAGTAAATAAATAAATATAGAGCCGAGCATGTTGTCTTGCCTACAGAATGAGTTCCATCCAGGACAGTCAAGGCTATACAGAGAAACACTATCTCGAAAAACTAAACAACATCAGCAACAATAACAACACCCCAAAAGTAGGATAGGCAAGGGCATGGATTTCCCTAGAGAAGTTTCTAGGGCTTGTTTTTGTGGCTTCTCACTCTTAGCTGGTGAATGGGGAAACTAGATGGAAATTTCTGTATTTCTATCAAAATTACTAATGTATTTGCTCAATAACCTAGGAATTACACACCTAGAAGTCATTTTATGCATTACACACATATACAACGGAACCAGTATTTTCCTGTAGTAGTTCAGTATCTATCCCTAGCACAGGTGTGGACTTTAGGAGCCCATTCCACATAGATGAATACTCCCTGAACCAAGACACACGGGGTGGGCCTAGGCCCTACCCCAAAGGATACAATAGACTCTGAAGACAACCTATGGAAGACCTCATCATCCAGGGGGAGCAGAAAGGATATGTGATAGATAGGGTTTTAGTTGCTGGTAGAAGAGGACGGGAGGGAGTGGGAACTGGGATTGTCATGTAAAACAACCTTGTTTCTAATTCAACTAAAAAAAAAATCTGCAGAAAAAAAAGAGAAAAAAAACAGAAAAAAAAAAAAGAAAAAAAAAAAAAAAAAAAATCTCCAGAAAGGCCTCCCAAAAGATGCTAGGGAATTATTTCTTTAATCTTTCTGTGTTGGTAGAAAACAATGGTGAGTGTAATTAGGAATAATTATTAAAAGAAAAAAATAAAAAACAACAAAAAAAGAAGGTCATGGTTTTTGATCATCTAGCAGCTAGCTGCCACAGTGATGCTCATTTAAAGACAGAATCCAGAATCACACTGGCCTGCAGGATATGTGCCTGGCTGGATTGCTCATCACTTTCTGTTCTTTGTTTAACATCCAATTTCCTTCTAACCATCAATCTACTTCTCTTCCCATCATTCCCATCTCCTCCTCTGCTTTAAACAGCTTCTTTTTGCTCATGTCACGCCCCTCACAGTCTCCTTTGGTGGAGGACTTATTGTCTGTCTCCTTCACCAGAGTACAAGCTCCATGAAAGCAGGGATGGCAGTTGTCCTCAAGTGACCCATGGACACAAATCCTGGTGGACATACAAGCACCTGTGACGGTGTGTCAGTGTGTAATATGTATTCATCAAATCTTTTCTCTGTCTTTGGTATTTCTCTCCTCTGTTTGTTTCCTTTGTCCTTCCTACCTTGGTTGAAATAAATAATCAAAGTAATTATCCTTTACTGTCTCTCATTTGCTCATAAATCTATAAACTCCAGACCCCACTTTACGGTAACAAGCAATACCTTTTGGGCCCAATTCTTACCCCAAATATCCCCTATGAGATCTGCATTTCAGTTACAGGACACTTAGTTATTTCTTGAATTAAATACTACTTTTCTATTTGTAGGACTTTTGAAATATTACTCTCTTCAAAGGGATTATTTCCCTGTACTCTCTGTCCACTAAACTAAGTATCTTTAGGACAAATATCATTTGAAGAATATTCTAAAATATTCCCACAAATATTTGTTTCTTTCGAAAAACATAACCTCTAGCTGTAGTTTGATACAGTGCAAAATTTCCCAAATTGTGTGAGTGATTACATATCTGTTTTTCTGACAGCTGGCCATAGGTCTTAATCACCTTCATATTTTTTTTAAACCATTTAGGCATCATTTAATTTTTTCTTTTGAGACAGGGTTTCTCTGTGGCTTTGGAGGCTGCCCTGGAACTAGCTCTTGTAGACCAGGCTGGGCTAGAACTCACAGAGATCCGCCTGCCTCTGCCTCCCGAGTACTGGGACTAAAGGCATGCGCCATCAATGCCCGGCTTCAGTTGAATTTAATATGCAGTTCTTTGTTCACTTAAAAAAAAAAAAGCTAATGGGTATAGTACAATTAAAGTGGAACTACTGGTACATAGTGTGCCAAGGATAAACCTCAAAACAGGTTGCTAACTGAAAGGAAACGATGGAGTAGTTAAGAGCACATGTTACTTTTGCAGACCTGGCTTAGCACTCATATGGCAGCTCACAAATGCCTGTAACTCCAGTCAGAAGGAAACTGATGCCCTTTTCTGATCTCCATGGGACTAGCCACACATGTGGTGCACATGCATACATGTAGGTGCATACATTTTAAAAAACGTTACTTAAAAAATAACTCAATTTATGACTCTTGATTAACTTTTGGTTGTTTGTGTAACACACTCATTTATGCATTGTGGGCCAGATCTCTGCAAAGCAATTTAGATATGAAGACTGATAAGTAGCTTGTCCTCAAGAAGCTTATGGTCCACCCAGGCATAGAAAAGAACAGAAACACACGCACACAGAAGACAAAGCTTTCAACACACATTAGATGTGACTAGCATACCATTTTTGTGGCATGTTAAAATTACACATTAATCTTACTATGCATTATTGTCTATGTGCATATGTAATTGTGTATATGTAAAGGCTAATTGCAGAACCTGAAGCCACCAAAGGTTTAGTTCTGTTCATTGTGTATTTCTTACTGGGATTTAGACTCTTTATTATTCATCACTTTTATATTTTTAAATTATTCATGGAACATACAATTTCTGAAAAAGATTATTCAGATAACCAGAAACAATTAATTTATGATCCCTTGAAACCTACTGCCATAACTTAATTGGATCCTAAGTTAATAACTCTGCTCCTAAGTTAATCAGAAATGTTATTCCCTGAACATCAAGTTATTATCTATTATGAACTTGGTTATTAATGAAGTATAATACTTCTATTCATTTCTACCAGACTGTCACATACATACTAAGAAAATATGCTCTACAAAAATTAATGTATAATTTTAAAATGCCAAAAAAACTGGTATGATAGCCACATCTAAACCAGTCTCTTTAAACATCAGATATACAAAATGGGTGTGAAGGGGCTGAATGTAGTCAGAATAGAGATTTAGATATACTTACTGCAGTACAGTATGTGCAATTTTAAAAACCAATTTAAATTTAGTCTGAGACTTTCACACATGCAATCTTATATACTTATTTATTTTGAGCAGGGTGCCATGTAGGCTAGACTGGGCTTCAACTTCTTACATTCAAGGATGACCTTGAACTCTGATTTTCTTCACACCTACCCCAAGTGCTGGGACATAGATATGCACACTATACCCTGCTACAGAAAGTTTTCTTTTTCTCTTTGTGGTACTGGGGATTGAACCAAGGACTTCCAGCATGCCAGGCAAACATGCTATCATTGAGTTATATTCCCAGCTCTCTCTCTCTCTCTCTCTGTGTGTGTGTGTGTGTGTGTGTGTGTGTGTGTGTGTGTGTGTGATTTAAGACAAGGTCTCAGTACATAGTTTAGGGTGGCCTTGTAATTGTTATTCTTTTCTTTAGCATCCTAAGTGCTGGGATTCTAGGTCTGTGTTGTAATGCCTAATCTTTTTTTTTCTTTTCTTTTCTTTTTTCTTTTTTCCTAGACAGGGTTTCTCTGTGTAGCTTTAGAGCCTATCCTGGCACTCACTCTGGAGACCAGGCTGGCCTCGAACTCAGAGAGATCCGCCTGCCTCTGCCTCCCCAGTGCTGGGATTAAAGGCGTGCACCACCAACGCCTGGCCTGTAATGCCTAATCTTACGTGAAGTTTCTTTGTATGTTTATGTATTTATGTTTGTCTGAGACAGGGTCTCTTTATATAGCTTGGTGTCCTAGAACTCAGAGGTCTGCTTGATTCTGCCTCCCAAATGCTGGGATTAAAGGGGAGTAACACCATGCCTGGCTGTACACGAAGATACTACTGAAGATTCATTATATATAAAAAGATGATCTACGAAGTGAATATTTACTTTTAATGGGATTTATTTATTTTAAGAAGGGGTAATTTATGCCATTATGTATACTGAATAACTGTCAGAGGTATCCTAATTTAGATTACTGTAACTTTGCTCAAGATTTATTTTGCTTGGTAAAGCTGTTTGAGATACGAGGAAGGCATAGGTTGATACTGTCTGAGATGGCTGCATTGGTGGTCTATTCACTTGAGTATATGAACATCCGGGGTGGGATAGCTGTGGACACTGGTGTGTTACTAAGAA